TTTCTTTCTTTCCCCCCCCCTTCGACTCAGCTCTCTCCTGCCTTCCTCTCACTTCCCCCCCCCCTCCTTCCCTCCCCCCTCCCTCCTCCTCTCCTTTCACTCCTTCATCCTTTCCCTTCCTCCCGCCTCCCCGTCCTCGCGCCCGGTCTTCCCTAAGCCCCCCCCCCCCCCCCCCCCCCCCCGGTTGAGAAACGCTGTCATAGAGTCTCAACCAATTCAATATAGTTTGTGGCAGCTACAAAAACGAAGTTTCTGGAGTAGCACAACTTCTTTCAAAGTAATTACTACACAATTAAACAGGAAATAACACTTTCAAACCAGGAACAGAAAAAAATCAAATTTTTGTTAATAAATTATAAAATAATAATATAATAATAATAATAATAATAATAATAATAATAATAATAATACTTTATTTATATACCGCTCTATCTCCCCGAGGGGGACTCAGGGCGGTTTCCAAGTAACATCACCAAAACATAAAGAGTAAACAGCATAGCATAAAATTAACAAAACAACATAAGAGTAAAATTATCACAATATCACATATATAATAAAAAAATAACCCTACCTCTTCCAACTCTGCAATTCTGTGACTGAGATCTGCTGACCCACCAAACAGGAGGCAGCCTCTCCCTTGTGGTTTGCAGCCCATCCACTTGCCCTCAGCTCATAACTCAATCCTTGTTTGGCAGGTGGTATATTTCACTGCGCTGTTCCCCTACGTGGTTTTGATCTTGCTGCTCTTGCACGGGGTGACATTGCCAGGTGCACTCGATGGCATCGTCTACTACTTGAAGCCGGACTGGTCCAAGCTGGCCGTGGCTCAGGTAAGAACAGGGTCTGGGAGGAAGAGAAGGAGGGCTGTGGGGCTGGGGGAAGCCATTGGGAGATGACGAGGCTAGCTAGCCCATGTGTCTGTGCAGGGAAGGAGGCCCTTGCTTGTAACCAACGCTGCCCTGTGGTGGCCTGGCCAGGCCATGCAAGCGAGAGCTCTGCCCCCCACTCGGTGGGGTTTATACCACGGCTGTTCCTCCATCCCAGGTATGGATTGATGCTGGCACCCAGATCTTCTTCTCATATGCTATCGGGCTGGGAGCCCTGACCGCACTTGGCAGCTACAACCGATTCCACAACAACTGCTACAGGTGAGGTCCCCCACCTGCCCATCACATATCCCTCACTTTCAGCCTTGAGATCCATGCCACTTTCCACGTCCAAAAGATAGAATCTCCCATCTGTGGCCTCTTCCACACTTCCCTATATTCCAGCATGTGTTCCCAGATTATCTTCTTATCCCAGATTATCTGGCAGTGTACACTCAGGCCTCTTCCACATAGCTGAATAAAATCCCACATTTTCTTCTTTAAAATGGTATATATGGTAGTGTGGACTCAGATAACCCAGTTTAAAGCAGATATTGTGGGATTTTCTGCCTTGATATTCTGGGTTATATGGCTGTATGGAAGGGCCCTCACATTATCCAGTTCAAAGCAGATAATCTGGGATCAAATCCTGGGATAAAGGGCAGTGTAAGTCCAGCTCAAGTCTGAATCCTGGAAGACTACATTTTAAAGGCTGTGCAAAAAACCCTTTGTAGCAGAAAATAAAAGGTTTAAAATGCTGTACAGTTTTGTTTTGTTTTGTTTTTTTAAAAATAGGCTCTCCCCTTCCATAATTCACAATCACCTTCTGTTTTGGGTTGCTGTGAGTTTTCCAGGCTGTAAGGCCATTCATGTTCCAGAGACATTTTCTCCTGTCATTTCACCCACATCTATGGCAGGCATCCTCAGAGGTTGCAAGGTCTGTTGGAAACTAGGCAAGTGGGGTTTATATATCTGTGCAGTGTCCATGGTGGGAGAAAGAACTCTTGCCTGCTTGAAGTTTGAATGTTGCAATGGGTCAGCTTGATTAGCGTTTGATGGCCTTACAGCTTCAAAGCCTGGCCTTTGCTGCTTGGAGGATCCTTTGTTGGGAGGTGTAAGACTCAGCCAGGGCCAGCTGAGTCAGCTGCAAAGACTGTCTGTTTCCTGCCTGAAGGAATCCTTTGTTAGTAGGCATTAGCTGGCCCTGAGTGTTTCCTGTCTTTTAGTGTTGTTCTTTGTTTACTGTCCTGATTTTAGAGTTTTTTAAATACTGGTAGCCAGATTTTGTTCATTTTCATGGCTTTGAAGCTGCAAGGCCATTCAGTGCAAATCAAGATGGCCAACTGCAACATTCACACTTGCTTCCAGCAGAGAAAAGTTCTTTCTTGCACACTGCTGCTAGGAATTGTGGGAGTTGAAGTCCAAAAACAGCTGGAGGGCCCAAGTTTGCCCATGCTTGATCTATACTGCTTTGAGTCTACTTTAAGAGAGGAAAGTGGCAGATATAACAACAACAACACATTGTAGAATTGATGCACAACTTTAGATGCACAACTTTAGCTGCCTTGACTGAATCAGGGGACCCATAGTTTGGTGAGGAACCATCATTATTTGACAGAGAAGGCAAAAGATCTTGTAAAACTTCAGCTCCCATTACAACATAGCATTGAGCCATGTTAGTTGAAGTGGTGTCACACTGCATTATTTCTGCAGCATAGATGCACCCTTGAAGTGAGAGCAGGCCTTCACAACTTCCAACCCTCCAGGTGTTTGTGCCTCCAAATTTTAGAAGCCTTAGCCAGGTGTTCTAATAACCAGAAATTCTGGGAGTTGAAGTCCAAAACACTTGGAGGCTGAAGATTGCCCAGGTCTGAGTTAGAGGGATGGGCTTTCAGGTTTGAAAGGGAAAGACTTCCAGGTGAGCAGAAGTCCTGTGTGCCGCATAACCCCATCCAAAAGCATCATAAGCCCTTGGCAGCAAGTGACTTGCCTGTTCCTCCCTACAGGGATGCCTACCTCTTGGCTGTGATCAACAGTTCAACCAGCTTCTTTGCTGGCTTTGTGGTGTTTTCAGTATTGGGCTTTATGGCTTCGGAACAAGGGGTGGACATCTCCCAAGTCGCAGAGTCAGGTGAGTCTCAGCATTGGGGATTGCCTTTCATCCTGACTCTGATTTCCTCCTCTATGAGTTTTGCAAGATGTTTTGCATGGATCAAAGCAGCACAGTGGTGAGGAGTGTCTGCTTTGCATGGGGAAAGAGTCAAGGGATTTAATTCCTGGTCCGGGGATAGAAATATTACCCTGATAGTAGAAGCAGTTACCAATCAGATGGCTGGATGATTGGTTAAGTCAGCTTCTAAGACCTTTGCAGAATTATATGAAGCCAATGTCCCTCTAAAATGATATTGTCTCTTTCAGGTCCTGGCCTGGCCTTCATTGCCTATCCTAAAGCTGTGACTCTGATGCCACTTTCCCCACTCTGGGCTATTCTGTTTTTCTTCATGCTTCTTGTGCTGGGGCTGGACAGCCAGGTAACCACACGTGGGGCTGGAAAGGGTGCGGGGAGGGAGTGGTGTCGGAAATCTACGCCTTGCAGGGTCAAAGCATTGGGATTTTTCGGGGAGAAGGATCTCATCCGCCACACTCCTCACTCTGCCTTCAAAGACAGTGGTTCCCAAACATTGGTCTTCCAAGATTCTTGGACTTCTTCTCCCAGAAGCCCCAGCCAGTTTGGTCAAGATTCAGGAATTATGGAAGCTGAAGTCCAAAAATGCCCAGAGGACCAAGTTTAGGAACTAAGCTAAAGTTGGGTTGCTGTGAGTTTTCCATGTTGTATTGTCATGTTCCAGGAGCATTCTCCCCTATGTTTCGCCCACATCTATGGCAGGCATCCTCTGAGTTGATGGGCCCGTTAGAAGCTAAGTAAGTGAAGTTTATATATCTGTGAAATGTCCAGGGTGGGGGAAAGAACTCTTGTCTGTTAGAGGTATGTGTAAATGTTGAAATTTGCCACCTTGATTAGCATTTAATGCCTGTATCTAACATTTCCCAACAAAGGATTCCCACAGGCAGCAAGTGGCCAGGCCTTGAAACCGCAGGTGCAAATCAAGGTGCAAATTGCAGTATTCACAGTTGCCTCGTGCAGATAAGAGTTCTTTTCCCCATCTTGGACGTTCCACAGATATATAAACCTCACTTACATAATTTGCAACAGACCCCACAACCACTGGGGATGCCTGCCATAGATGTGGGCAAAATGTCAGGAGAGAATGCTTCTGGAACATGGCCATACAGCCCGGAAAACTCAGAACAACTCTCCCCTGATGTTTCGCCACGTCATTGATTCTGGCCATGAAAGCCTTCAACAACACATTGAAGCTGCACTCATCACATTCATTGGGGTGGAAATGCATGGTTTTGAGCAGGCCCTGTTTTAATACAAAACAGTACAATTAAAATCCATTAGCTTTACTGAAGACCTGCGCCTTGTAGAGATAAAAACTGCAGACAGATTTGTTGATATGGATCAACATAGCTGTCTGCATTTTGGACTCTTCCCTTTAGTGCATGGATATAGAGGTTGCAATGATCAGTACTTGCCTGAAATTTGCTACCAGAAACAATTGGGTTGTGCTGTGCCTTTAACCGTATTTTTGTCTGCAGACGTCAGTAGTTGAGGAGCTTGAGGAGCTTTTTCATAGCTTGAGGAGACAGTATTGTGCTTTCCAGGTATAAAGACGCTATTACAAGCTTGCAGCAGCAAGTTGACAGCCCTGATATATCCAAGTCAAGGGATATATCTGAGAATGGGATGCATGCCCATAGAGCCTGTAAAGGGGAACTTAAGTGTATCCAGCACGCATTGATGTCTACTTGGATGAGCATTATGCATTTTCACTGGGACTTTCAGGATGCTACTGAGCATGAGCAAAGTGCAAAATATTTCTCTCTCTAAAATAAGACAAATCACACTACCAGCCTGATTTTGAACTGCCCACCACTGCCTTCTTTGTCTTCAGCCCTCCAAGTAAGAGCCAATATGTTAAATGCACATGTGCATTTAATATTTCTGATTTTTTGTTTGGTTTGGAGTTATTCTTGTTGTTTTTGAAATAGCAGCCACTGAGGAAAGTGTTTGAGACTGTAGACACACATTTCTGTCCTTAGCTCTCAGAAGCTGAGGTGAGCATGAAAATTCAGAATTTGCACCACTAACCCATATTTACAACTCTGCAATATATGGATGCCTTTCTGCCTTCTCTGCCAGGGCTGGGAATCCTTGAATCCCCCAGATGTTCTTGAACTACATGTTTGAGCAGCCCTAGTCAGCAAAAACAGCAGCAAGGAATCCTGGGAACTGTAGTCCAACAACATCTGGAAGGCTGCTTGAATCTCATTCCAGCAAATGCAAACAATATCAGAACCTCATTCTTAAATCAAGGGTAGGTCACCTGGGAGCGGACAGCATGCATACCAGTACAGGTATAGCTCAGTTAACAAAGCCAATATCTTCCTGCATGTTACTGCTTTAACATAAATTTGAGATCAGGCTACCTGGGCAGTTGTTCTCTTTTTGAAGATGGAGGTAACATTTGCCTCCTTCCAGTCTGCTGGACTTTCTTCTGTCCTCTGGAAATTCTCAAATTATTGTTAGTGGTTCTGAGATAACTTCTGTCAGTTTTTCTAATATCATTGGATGTCGTTCATCTAGTCCTGGAGGCTTGAATTAATTTAGGGTAGCCAGGTATTGATGTATATCCTTTTTACTTATTCTATAGTGCATTTTCCCTCCTGCAACCACCCAAGTTGAGCATTGTTTTCCTTTTGGGAGAAGACCAAAACATTTCTCCACTAATACTTTGTGTGGAATCCTGGAGGCATCTTCTCTTTACCTTCTCTGTTGCAGCCATGGTTACAATACAAATAGTTACAGCAGCATGCCATTCTTGCCCACCACAAGCGTTTATTGCATTGTTTACTAAAGATATGCAGCTATAATCTGAGACTAAATGCTGGTGTCCCTCCAGCACTCCTTCACCAAACCTCCTACTAAAAAAATTGCAGTTAATTAAAAAACAGGAGGAAAAAAAGGTGGGGATAAGACTTTGTAAAAAGGAGCTTCTTTGTTAGAGACTTCTTAACTGAGATATGCCTAGAGTTGGAGGTTGGGGGACAAAATCACTACAGTAGAACCAAAAACAAGAGCAAATTTAAGTCTAAAGTTCATCCTACAGACAACACTATGTAACAAAATTTGAAAAAAAATCTGTTCCTGGCTTAAAAGTGTTATTTCCTTTTTAATAGTGTGATGCTTACTTTGAAAGTAGTTGTTCTACTCCAGAAACTTCATTTTTGTGGCCAATTGATTGAGACTCTATGAGCAGGCACGGGCAAACTTTGTCCCCCCAGATGTTTTGAACATCAACTCCCATAATTCCTAACAACCCATGAACAAAAACATATTATATTAAGCCTAAGGAGAAACATTGCAACCTTTCAGAATCAGAAAAAGTATCACACAAAAGCTGGAAAACGTGCAAACTACCATTGGTCATAGAGAAGGTGTATGCCTCTTGGCAAAACAACATCTCTGCATTACGTAGCATGAAGCCCAGTACCTGGTAGTCATTCAGTATTCTCGACTTTCTCTTCCCCTCCTTCCTCTTTTCCCATGTCTTCCTCTCAGTTTGTGGGAGTGGAGGGTTTCATCACGGGTATCCTGGACATGTTCCCGCAGCAGCCCGGGGCAGGCTCACCGCGCAGGGAGATCACAGCCGCAATCTGCTGCCTGGTTTGCTGCATCCTAGATCTCTCCATGGTGACTCAGGTGAGGCCAACATGGGGAGGAATGAATGGTCTTGGTCAGGATGAGATGGTAGACAGGAGAGGAAAAAGTGTATCCATTAGACCCTGTATTGTCTACTCCTGATACAGAATCCTTGAACTAGAAAATACCCCAAGGGCCATCCAGTCCAGCCCCCTGCCATGCAGGAAGGCACAGTCAAAGCACTCCCAATAGACAGCCTCTGCGGAAAGGCCTCCAGAGAAAGAGACTCTATCACACTCTGAAACAGCTTGTGCCACTCTAGGAAGTTCTTCCTAATCTTTTCAGTCAAATCTCTTTCCCTCCCATTTGAAACCATTACTCCTTTGGGCCCTGGTCTCTACAGCAGCAGAAAGTCAGCCCCCCCCCCTTCCAATGGGACACCCTCTGGGATCTTGAAACATGGTTCTCATGTCCCCTGTCTACCTTCTCTTCTCCTGGCTAAACATCCCCCAGGAGGAAAAGGGGAAGGAAAAAGAGAAGGAAGAAAGGGCGGAAGGGAGGGAGGGAAGGAAGAACGGAATGGAGGAGAGGGAGGGATGGAAGAGCAAAGTAAGGAAAGACAAAAGGGAAGGAAGGAAAAAAGGGAGAGAGGGAAGAGGGAGGGAAGAGGGAAAGAAGGAAGAGTGAAAGGATGGAAGGGAATGGAGGGAGGGAGACAGAGGGAGGGGAGAAAGGGAAGAAAGAGAGAAGGAAGGAAAGGTAAAAGGGAAGGAAGGAGAAAGCGAGAGGGGGAAGGAGGGAGGAAAGAGGGAAGGAAGGATGAAAGGATGGAAGGGAATGGAGGGAGGGAGAAAGAGAGAGGGAAGGGAGGGAGGAAAGAGAGAAGGAAAGAAAGGCAAAAGGGAAGGATGGAAGGAGAAAGAGGGAGAGAAGGAAGGAAGGCTGGAACAAAGAAGAAAAGAGAGAAGGAAGGATAGGATGGTGAGAAAGAGGAGGGCTTGAGAAAAGAGCCCAAGGATTCACATCGGCCCCCAAGCCTGGATTGGCCCATACCTGCCCCAAAGTGACCCTATTAGAGGGTTTTCTTGGCAGGATTTGTTCAGAGAGAGTTGACTTTGCCTCCCTGTAAGTTTGAGAGGAAGTGACTTGTTCAAGTTCACCCAGTGTGTTTCCAAGACTGAGCAGGGATTTGAACCCTGGTCCCCGACATCATATACCAACACTCAAGTCACTGCACCATTTCCTGTAATAAAAAGCAACATTTATGTATGAATTACCATATTTGCTTGAATCTAATGCTCACCTTTTTTGGCTAAAGTACATACCCAAAATTAAGGTGCGCATTAGATTCGATGGTGTTAGAATCGCACACATAAACCCGCTTCCAACCCTTTGTCAGACCATGGCTGATAAACTTACCAATCTCAGCCTGATTGAGGGGAATGACTTCCCAATTGGTCTCATTGACAAGGTCTTCAAAGCCTCCTTCTTGGTTTTGAAGGCCTCATGAATGAAACCATAGCAGCCCATCTGCCAGACTGAGGTTAGCAAGTCTGCTAGTCTTGGTCTGATGGAGTAGTGTGGCTTCCTCTTGCTTATCAGCTGTTCTGAGGTTGGAATGAAGCAGCAGGAGGGAAAGTTGTGCATTACATTTGCCAACAAACTTTTTTTTTGCGCAATGCACACCTTTAAAATTGAAGTGTGCATTACAATCAAAGGTGCTTTATAATTGAGTAAATACCGTATCTTTCAACTGGTTCTTTTTCTTCATCTTGTGGCTCCTAGGGAGGCATGTATGTCTTTCAGCTCTTTGACAATTATTCAGCCAGTGGAATCACACTTCTGTGGCAGGCCTTTTGGGAGTGTGTGGTGATCGCTTGGGTCTATGGTAAGTGCCAAAGAAGACTGGGAGCGAGGGAGTATTATTATTCTTCTTCCTTCTGCTGCTGTTTGCCTTTTTACTGATGCTATTGGATAGACCCACTGGTGGTGCAGTGGGTTGAACTGATGTGCTTCTGAACTTGCTGACCAAAAGGTTGGTGGCTCGAATCTGGAGAGTGGTGTGAGCTCCCGCTATTAGGCCCAGCTTCTGCCAACATAGCAGTTTGAAAGCATGCAAATGTGAGTAGATCAATAGGTACCACTTGTGCGGGAAGATAACAGCACTCCATGTAGTCATGCTGGCCACATGACCTTGGAGGTGTCTATGGACAATGCTGGCACTGCAGCTTAGAAATGGGGGGTGAGCACCAATCCCAGAGTCAGACACGACTAGACTTAATGTCAGGGGAAACCTATCGGTTAGCCAACTCTCACCCATTACTATCCTGTGCATCAGTCTATAATTCTCAGAATCTCCAGCTAATATGGCTACGACAAATGGCCATTGGCCATGCAATCGGGAGATTGTGGGAGATTGGGCCCTCCAGGTGTTTTGGACTTCAACTCCCACAATTCCTAACAGCCTCAGGCCTTTTCCTTTTCCCCTTAAGTGGCTGAGGGGGAAAAGGAAGGGGCCTGAGGCTGTTAGGAATTGAAGTCTAGACGCGAGACTTTTCCAACCTCTGGAATTGAATCTGGGAATCTCTTTTAATATATTGATTTCAGACTATGGGCAGGGCTGTCACAGTGAAAGCTAACATCTTATTTCTTGTTCCTCCAGGAGCCGATCGCTTCATGGACGATGTTGCCCGCATGATTGGCTACCGGCCTCTGCCCTACATGAAGTGGTGCTGGTTATACATTACACCACTGGTGTGTGTGGTAAGTCAAGAGTGCACTGGGGAGAACTCTTTCCTAAAAGAGGGCTTCATCAGATTGGCTTTCCATCAGGCAGAGGCTGAGCTATAGTATGGAATGATGAACTTTTCACACCACAACATTGTCATGTTGGCTGTGGAATTCGTGAGATGTTTGGTTAATAGATGTTTGGATCCCCTGGTGGCATGGCGGGTTAAACCACTGAGCTGCTGAACTTGCTGACCGAAAGGTTGGCGGTTCAAATCTGGGGAGCAGGGTGAGCTCCTGCTGTTAGCCCCAGCTTCTTCCAAACTAGCAGTTCAAAAACATGCAAATGTGAATAGATTAATAGGTACCGCTCTAGCAGGAAGGTAACAGTACTCCATGCAGTCATGCCGGCCACATGAGCTTGGAGGTGTCTACAGACAACACCGGCTCCTCAGCTTAGAAATGGAAATGAGCATCACCCCGTAGAGTTGGACATGACTAATATCAAGGGGAAACTTTTACCTTTACTTTGGTTAATACAGTGGTTCTCAACCTGTGGGTCCCCAGATGTTTTGGCCTTCAACTCCCAAAAATCCTACCAGTTGGTAAATTGGCTGGGATTTCTGGGAGTTAGAGGCCAAAACACCTGGGGACCCACAGATTGAGAATCACTGGGTTAATACTTGGATGGTTGTCCCCCATCAAAGTATTAACCAAACATCTCCTGAATATGTCAGTATTGTGATATGCAAAGTTCATCTAGTGCAGTAGGCTATATTTCCTGGATAGCAATAGCAAACAACCTCAGAGTATCCCTTGACCAAGAGAATGGAGATTATCTCAGTTAATTAGATCATCATTAGTCAATAGGCTACCTGAAGACAGATATATGCACAGTCCAAACATGTTAACTTTTTCTCTGGCATACTAGTTTTTAAAAAGCAGCTGATTTATATGTGGTTTGCCATTGTACTTCATTCCAAGTAAAATTCCAAGTGAAAACTGAGCTTGTAATCGAGTATTAGGATTGTGTTGTTGCATTTGTTGCCTTTAAGTCATTTCTGAATTCTCTCCACGTGTCCCTCCACGTGTTTTGGACTTCAACTCCCACAATTCCTAACAGCCAGTAGGCTGTTAGGAACTATGGGAGTTAGAGTCCAAAACACATGGAAGGCCAAAGTTTGCCCATGCCTGCTTTAGGTCAATACACTACTAAAGCACACCTGAAAGGTGCTGATCCAACCTCTGCTTAAAGTTCTTCAAAGACAGAGAGTCTCTCTGAGAGTCAATTCTGCTACTAAACGTATTTTACAGTCAGGATGTTTTTCCTAATGGTTAGATGGATTTTCTTTTCTTGCTCCGTCTTCTACACAACATCCCTTTCAATATTTAAAGTTGGTTATTGTACCACTTCTTTCCTTCTCAAGGCTGAATGTGTCCAGCTCCCTAAGCCGTTCCTTGTTATGTTCCTAACAGGAAGCCTGTCCTGGCATTTTGTATACATTTAAAATAGTACAACACATGCAAAGGCCCAATGGTCAGGTTTAGACTTCTCCCTGCCCCATTCAAAAAATCCCCATCCAATTTGACTGAGATGCAAAAATACCAGATGCTATAGGGTATAAAGGCCAAACTGGAAGAAATGAGAAGTATACGATTATGTTTCTGTCTTGTTGAACTTCATTTTCAAAAAAGCTGATCCAACTTTAATCCCTTTGTATTGTCAAAGACTTTAATCCCTTTACTTTCATTGCCATCCAGCTACTGTTTTATACCAGTTGCAAAAGGATCTGATCAAATTTAGGGATATGTTAGGAGCCCTAGGTGGCACAATGGGTTAAACCCTTGTGCCGGCAGGACTGAAGATCGACAAGTCACAGGTTCGAATCTGGGGAAAGCACGGATGAGCTCCCTCTGTCAGCTCCGGCTCCCCATGCAGGGACATGAGAGAAGCCTCCCACAAGGATGGTAAAACATCAAAACATCCAGGCGTCCCCTGGGCAACATCCTTGCAGATCGCCAATTCTCTCACACCAGAAGCGACTTGCAGCTTCTCAAGTCGCTCCTGACACAAAAACCAAGAAAGAGGGGCATGTTTCTCTCCAGATATTATTGGACTACTACTCCTATACATCCTTACTGGATGTACTGACATGTGCAGATGGAAGTTGCAGTCAAGGAACATCTGGACAACTGTGCAGTCCACACTCCCTGGTAGTAGTAATAATCATCATAATAAACATTATTTTTAGCCTGCTATCTTGCTTCAAAGGGACTCAGGGCAGCTTCCAGAGGCAAAAAATGGCAAACATTCAATGCCAAGTGCAATGACACTATAAAACATTAAAACTGCCAGTTAAAAATAAACAGATTCCACCTTGGCTAAAACATATAAATCAGTGAAGCATCATAAATAACACATTGACCAGTTAAAATATGTATAAAAATATTAAAAGATAGCTCTTCAATAAGTTAGGGTAATCGGCATCAACATTGTCAGACAAGGTGGGATCAATGGTGAACTATTCTTCTTCCTCTCCATAGGCTAACATACAAAAATCGGTTTTTCACTGTTTCTTAAAGGAGAGGAGTAAAGGGGCTGCTCTAATTTCTTTGGGGAGGGAGTTCCAGAGGGAAGGGGCCACCATGGAGAAGGCCTCCTTTCTCGTTCCCACCTGCCACTCTGATATGGTAAACAGGATTCATGATCACACAATTTTCCTTCTATATAAGGTAGTTAACACAAAAAACTTTACTTCAAAAAGTAGTATAGAGGAGGATTAAAAACCTTTCCATCCTGATCTGGCTCATAGGCATGCACATTTGAACACATCACATTATTTAATTTGTTGTTCTTATGTGCCTAAAAGTCATTTTTTCTGACATGATAATGACTTATAGCTATGCCTTTTGACTTACAACTGGGTTTTCTTGGTAAGATTTGTTTTCAGAATATATTTGCTCTTGCCTTCCTCTGATGCTGAGAGAGTGTGACCTGTCCAAGGGCATCCAAAGCTTTTCCATGGGACAAGCAAGGATTTCAACCCTGGACTTCCAGAGTCGTAGTCCAACATGCAAACCATTAAATTACACTATGTAACAAAATTTGAAAATTTTCTGTTCCTGCTTTGAAAGTGTTATTTCCCATTTAATTATGTGGTACTTACTTTGAAAGTCATTTTTATACTCCAAAAACTTTGTTTTTGTGACTGCCACAAACTGTGTTGAAATGGTTAAGACTTGATAGCAAAATACGCTGCAGGATGTGCCACAAAAACAAAGTTTTTGCAGTTTAATAAACCTTTTCCATGCTTATATGTTATAACCAATTAGGAAATGACATTTATAACTTGGGAACAAAAATGTGTTACATAATGTTATCTAATGGAACCCCCGGTGGCGCAGTGGGTTAAACCACAGAGCTGCTGAACTTATTGACCAAAAGGTCGCAGGTTCGAATCCAGGGAGCAGTGTGAACTTCCGCTGTCAGCCCCAGCTTCTGCCAACCTAGCAGTTCTTAAACATGCAAATGTGAGTAGATGAATAGGTACCGCTCTAACGGGAAGGTAATGGCACTCCATGCAGTCATGCCAGCCACATGACCTTGGAGGTGTCTATGGACAACACCAGCTCTTCAGCTTAGAAATGGAGATGAGCACCAGAGTCGGACACGAGTGGACTTAATGTCGGGGAAAACCTTTACCTTTACCTTTACTAGTGTTATTTAGCTCATACATTTAATGGTATTACTGACAACCACAGCAACACTACCTTACCCCAAACAGAGGCGGCCCTAGGTAATTTTCAATGGTAAGCAAACAGTAATCACTGATATATATTTTCTGTTCATCGTGGGAGTTTTGTGTGCCATTTTTGGTTCAATTCCATCATTGGTGGAGTTCTGATTGCTCTTTGATTGTAGGTGAACTATACATCTCAGTAACTACAATTCGCATATGTCAAGGTCTTATTTTCCCCCAAGAGCACCTCAAGAGCACCCCTGGGCAAAATCAACTATACTGCAAATGCTTACTTTGTGTAATGGGTTGAGCTGCCCCTGACCCCAAAACAATAAATCCCCAAATCTTTTTGAAAAGCATCCTTGTCTCAGCTCTACCTTCCCTTTCATATATGCCCTGGCAGCTCTTAACTGCATCCAGCCCCAAACCTATTTCTGAGATGTTAAGAAGGAGAAGCTCAGATTATTTCTGGAAATGGTGACTTTGCTTAACACTCAAGAAATTACATTCCAATCTTCTCCTGCACTTTAGTTGAACCGATCGGTCCCATGTGACTGGTGCTACTTTCAGGCTGGCAGCTCCAATGCTGTCTTGCTCTTGCTTTTCTCCTACAAATAGAATCAAAGTTTGAGTAATTTTTATTTCCCAAAAAGAGAACTTAATAAAAAGATAGCAATAATAGAAGCAAGCAATATTTCATGGTATATAATGCTAATACAACACAGCTACATTTTAATGATCCAGCTAACTAGAAACCTATAACAAAAGTATAAACAGAAACACAAAATATACCTTCAACACACAAACTAAACTAAGACACAAACTATAAACTTCACTTTTAAAAACAAAATCCCCTTCTTTTAGTGAAATATTTCCCCTATTTACAAAGGGTGGATGTCTTTCGATATCTTTAGCATCATCCAGTCTTACAGAATCTTGGGTGTTGTAGTATTACAAGGCTTTGTTCTATTGTGCCAAAGGGTGCTGGTGCCTTTCCAAACTGTCCTTCCCAGGATTCTGTAGCCTTGAGCTATTGGTGGCTAAAGTGGTGTCAAACCACATTCATTCTATAGTGCTGATATTTTGGAAATGCATGACCCTGTTAGATATCAAATGCATGACCTTGTTAGATATCAAAACCTTTTGGAAAAATGATGCCATAACCTTTTTGGAAATGGAAAACTCCATAAACTTTTGGGAAATGGCATTCATTGCCATTTGGGAAAATCAGGAATCTCCCTGAGAAGAGTTAAAAACTCTCTTGAACCAATTTTCTCCTTAGTAGTAATTATACACTAGCATTTATGCAAGGCAATTAGGTTACTCAGCTGTTAAACTGATATACCTAGATCTCTTTCAACTGCCAATACACAAACACACATACACACATATAGAATAGTTTCAGAAATGTTCTTTTCAGTTGCTGAAAGACATCTACTCTTCCTTAAACATCTTGGTTTAAACCATGCTCTCAAGAGACCAAAAATGAAACAGATTCTTTAAAAATAACATAGGCATTTACTCACAAACTTCATGTACTCAGCATACAGGTACTTTGCATATCAATCCAGGTACAGATAGGATTTGAAGTAGTTTCTCTGTGTAGATAACACAGGGTATCTTTATTGTAATCAGCAGTCCATCGTCTAAAGCTTCTCTCTGGACTGAGAGTCTAATAGAGTCTGTGTCTAGTCTGAAAGTCCAATGGAGTCTGAGATCTAAAATGGAGTCTGAGTCCTGAATAGTCCCAGTTTTGATCACAAAACTGGGACTGCAGCCCCTCCCACAACAAAGAGTTAAGGAAAACTGCATACCAATACACACATATACAATACAATTAGCAATCTCAATTATATACGTAACAAATTACTAGTGGAGGCTTGAGGAAGGTTGCTATTTCCAACACGATATATCCGACATGATACGAAACATGGTGTTTGCTGAAGTAAATCTTTCTCCTATGAATATATATACATGCACCTGAAGATAAATGTCATAAGAGGAGGGCAACGTTGCATAACTGGGAAGAAGCAGAGCTAGGTGAAGTTACCATTTACAACTAAAACGCACAGAATTCTTCTGTTGGTTAGAGCTCTTTGAGAGTTGTCATTTAAAAACTTACTCACACACCATCAAAGTTTTGGAAAAAAGTCAAATTCATACCTTGAATGTGGGACTCACTCCTTATATTCCTTTATATATTACCTCTGCCTTTATGCTGATCTCTCGTCCATCCTCTTCCTTCCCTTCCTAACCAGGGCATCTTCCTGTTCCATGTGGTGAACTACCAGCGCTTGACCTACAACAAGACCTACATCTACCCCTGGTGGGGCGAAGTGATTGGCTGGGCTCTGGCCCTTGCCTCCATGCTTTGCATCCCCTGCACTGTTGTTTACAAGCTGCTACGAAGCAAGGGCTCTCTACAACAGGTGAGCATCAGCCTCTCATCTTTGTTAGTTCCTTGTCTCCCTCTCTTTAAGCCAGGCATGGGCCAACTTCAGCCCTCCAGGTGTTTTGGACTTCAACTCTCACAATTCCTGGTAGGCTGTTAGGAATTGTGGGAGTTGAAGTCCAAAACACCTGGAGGGCCCAAGTTTTCCCAGGCCTGCTTTCAGCCATCAGGATGTTGCTTCGAGATGCCTAGTGCTCTTGACATGCAGATGTGCATGGACATTTTGGAAAGAATGCAGTTTGCTATGGCTCAATGCTATCAAATCTTGGGAGTTATAGTTTGATGAGGCCCTTGCACTGTTTGGCAGAAAAGGCTACACGACTCTTCCAGGATTCCATAGGTCTGAGCCATGGCAGTTTTAGTGGTGTCAAACTGCATTAATTCTACAGTATAGATCAGGCATGGGCAAACTTGGGCCCTGCAGGTGTTTTGGACTTCAACTCCCACAATTCCTAACAGCCTCAGGCACTTTCCTTTCCCATCTCAGTCGCTTAAGCTGTTAGGAATTGTGGGAGTTGAAGTCCAAAACACCTGCAGGGCCCAAGTTTGCCCATGTCTGCAATAGGCTAACCGCTCAGTATAATGAAATGACAAAAGACTTAAGTCTATAGCAGTCACTTGGAAACATAAAACCACAACAGCTGTAATAAAACCCAGCAAAACAAAGACACTGTTAAAACCAATTCAGCTGGAATATCTCACAACCTCTGAGGATGCCTGCTATAGATGTGGGTGAAATGTCAGGAGAGAATGCTTCCGGAATATGGTCATACAGACTGGAAAACTCACAGCAACCCAATACAGGGAAATTTTATGTCATGCTTGCCCTTGATTCCAATGCTTTAAAAATTCTGGAGCACTTTCTCTTTGCTTTTACTAATGGCTATTGGAAGAAAGTGTCCTCAAGAACCTTACCGGGTTAGTTTCGCTAAGGTATACGTTACACGTAAATTAATAATGACGAAGAAGCCGAACGGCTTCCTGGAGTCGCTTCTTTATCCCTGTGCCTCCTTTCCCTGTGGCACCAGGACTGTGGCACAGCTGGGTGGAAGTCAGCTGCATTAAGATCACTACTGACCGAAAGGTCATGAGTTCGAAGCCAGCCTGGGTCGGAGTGAGTGTTCGACCAATTTGTGTAGCTTGCTGTCAACCTTTGCAGCCCGAAAGACAGTTGCATTTGCCAAGTAGGAAATTTAGGTACCACGTATGTGGGGAGGCTAATTTAACTAATTTATGAGGCCATAAAAATCTCCAGCCAGTATGCAAAGAATGAGGAAGTACTTCATCAATGTCACAAACGGATGGTGAAGCGACAGCTCCCCTGGTGGCCAGAAGCTGGAATGTTAAATAGCCTCTGAGTGTCTGTCTATATTAGGGCTGGGCAACTACGGAAAAATTTGTTTCTAAAATCGATTCGTTTTTGGGGGGTTTTTGCGTTTCGATTTTTAAAAGAATTCTGAATTTTTTCTTTTAAAAAGTTCGATATTTATGAAATTTCGTAAATTACAAAACAATATGAAACAATTACGAAACAATTACGAATCGATTCGTTAATGGCGGACGCGACCGCGCAATACGCTAAAAAACCTCCAAATGGGACAGGGGGAACTTCTGAAGCTTCCCTCTCCCGCTGTTGTTGACTGTTGGTGTGATATTATAATTTTTTTTCACTGATTAAACAAACAACAACTATAAAACTTGCCCCAGACATGCGGAAATAATAACGAAACGATTTCAAAACAATAACGAAACGAATACAAAACGAATCCGAAGCAATTACGAAGCGAATTTAAAAATTCGTTTCGTTTTTTAGATGCTCCTGAATGGTTCGTTATCGCTTCGTTATAAAAAAAATAACGAATTTTTAACGAATTACGAAATTACGAAACGAAACCGCCCAGCCCTAGTCTATATATGTTGTGTATCTATGGCATTGAATGTTTGCCATATATATGTACATTGTATTCCGCCCTGAATCCCCTGTGGGGTGAGAAGGGTGGAATATAAATACTATAAATACTAAAAAATAATTACAAATTTTCTCCTGCAGCGCTGGCAGTTGCTGACTACCCCTGTCTGGGGCCACCATCACCTGGAATACATGACACCTGAAGCAGAGACAAAGCTCCTTCCACCTCCGGACGGCCTCACAGCAGCTCCTCCAGAGAAGGCCACCCTCTTTGAGACTGTGATTTAGTTCCTTGGGCCCTCCTCCCCCTGTAGCAATGCCACCAGCACATGGTCTGAGCTCAGAAGAGAAGGGGATGGGATTTGGGAGAAAAACCTATAGCACCCTTGACTCATCCTCTGGTTATCCTTTGTGACCACTTTCTGTAGAAGAGGCCAGAGAAGACCTACGAGTAGACATTGGTCTAATATGGTTATGTTAGAGGTGCTCGTAATGCAGCAGAGGGGAAGAAACATACACGATCCCCAATCTATCTGGGCCAACCTTCTTTTAGATCAGGCTTGGGAAACGTTTGGCCCTCCAGGTGTTTTGGACTTCTTTGAACAGCTGGTAGCTGTTAGGAATTGTGCGAGTTGAAGTCCAAAACATCTGGAGGACCGACTTGCCCATGCCTGCCGTAGATAAAGACATATTGATGTGTGAGGCTGAAATTTCCATCTTACCCCTCTGGAGGCTGAAAAAAAAATCAAACTTCTCCCTCATCGTGTTCATGATCAAGCTTCAAGCCAAGGGCATTAACTCCCTCGTTCCAAAAAGAAAAGACTCACAAACAAGAGGGCCCACCAACTGGGAAAGAGTTCCTCCCTAGAGTCTCCATGGATATTTTTCCCCATGGCAGCAAAAACCCCGTAGCTTTTTCTTCTTCCCAAAACCAGCCAGGGCTGTTTCTAAAAGGTGCTGGATTCTGGCATTCTGTGTGATGCTGATGTAGTTTTGTTTGGTTCTGATTTATTTTTATTTCTGCCCCGTAGTTACCTCTTTGGTCTATTTTTTTTTTTAGCCCAATCCCTAATATGACCTTAACTGGTGTAGGGAGACTAACAGCATCCCGCTCTTCAGGTTCCCATTTCTCTCTCCCTCGGGGAAAATAAACACAACCACTCCCAATCTATTTCCAGCACTCTGTGGCCTACTTCTTCTCATCGCTTCTTCCCACTCTCATAATCACATTCCTTCTACAGTTTCAAGGATAGTTCTCGATTATGCAGCAATTGATTCTGTGTGTGTGTGTGTGTGTGTGTATTTGTTCTCTTTGGCATCATTTCTTGTTTCCATCACTCTAAATCAGGCATGGGCAAACTTGGACCCTCCAGGTGTTTTGGACTTCAACTCCCACAATTCTACCGGCTGTTAGGAATTGTGGGAGTTGAAGTCCAAAACACCTGGAGAGTCCAAGTTTTCCCATTCCTGCTCTAAATGTATCCATTCTCCCTTCCTTCTTCCATCCTGGTCTACTTTTGACTCTAACCAGGAGCCGGTTGGAGAAGGGATGCCAAGTACACATTGCAAACCAGAACTGAGGATGATGCCCCTAAATCAGTGGTTCCCAACCTGTGGGTCCCCAGGTGTTTTGGCCTACAATTCCCAGAAATCACAGCCAGTTTACCAGCTGTTAAGATTTCCGGGAGTTGAAGGCCAAAACATCTGGGGACCCACAGATTGAGAACCACTGCCCTAAATTTTCCACTGAGTGCAAAGGGACTCAACCTAAAAAGAGAAAAGTTAGATCTCTTATAGATCCCATCAATAATACCGAAGTGGGAAAAGGTTGAGGAGTTAGAAAATTTCAGATAATGGTGTCAACTTGCTTCTTACTTCACAAACAAGCAGAGGCAAACCATTTGAGCCACGCACAGCCACAGATACAGTTGGCATATTGCTTTCTGGTTGGACTTCTGTAGCTTCGACCTCTGTCTATCACAGTGGTTCTCAACCTTTAGGTCCCCAGGTGTTTTGCCCTACGATTCCCAGAAATTTTAGCCAGTTTACCAGCTGTTAGGATATCTGAGAGTTGAAGGCCAAAACATCTGGGATCCACAGGTTGAGAACCACTGGTCTATCGGGTGCACCATTTCTATGTGATTCCAATGCTGAATCCACTACTAGTTTTGGTGAGCTTCCGAGGAGCTATCCAGGGTGCTGAAATAGTTCAGCATCCTAGGTAGGCAACTCTTTAAAGGCCCCATCTATACTGCCATATAATCCAGCTTCAGAATTCAGTTCATTTGCATTAAACTGGATTATATGGGAGGGTAGACTTCTATAATCCATTTCAATGTGCTTCAGTCTACATTATATGAGTCTACACTGACTATTATAGAATCATAGAGTTGGAAGAGACCTCATGGGCCATCCGGTCCAACCCCCTGTCAAGAAGCAGAAACATTGCATTCAAAGCACCCCCGACAGATGGGCATCCAGCCTCTATTTAAAAGTTTCCAAAGAAGGAGCCTCCACCACACTCCAGGGCAGAGAGTTCCACTGCTGAACAGCTCTCACAGTTAGGAAGTTCCTCCTAATGTTCAGATGGAATCTCCTTTCTTGTAATTTGAAGCCATTGTTCCACGTCCTAGTCTCCAGGGCAGCAGAAAACAAGCTTGCTCCCTCTTCCCTATGACTTCCTCTCACCTATTTATACATTGCACAAAACTGGATTGTATGGTAGTGTAGATGGGGCCTAAATCTGAATTGAAATCTGAAGTGGATTCCCTGCCCCACTGACATAGAAGTCACCAGCAGCCCCTAAGTGAACATTTAATAGATGTGGCTGTATCACTTACAAAGGCACCAAACATCATGAGGAATTCCAGAAAGCAAAACATCTTAGTGTGTTGAAATTGGCCAATAGCAACATATTTGCTGGCACTTCATAGAGAATGTTGTGGCTCTAAGAAAAAGCAGGTCTTCACACCAAATTCATAGCTACTGGACTCCTAGTAATCCAGAATCAGAAAAATTACATTTGTTGTCTTTCTCTCTGTAACTAGAGAAGAAGAGTGGCAGCCCTAATTTTAGGCCTGGTGAGCGAAGGCTCCTCTCCCTCTCTTGGCGTTATATCTCACAACAGTGATACTGCATTCCTCCAGTATATGCATTTTGTAATATATGAGTATTTGTGCCAAACTGGGCTGAGCCCATCTTCCTCTACTCATGAAATTGTAATCACTGTTCACTTCCCTCTGACACAGCTGACTTCTCAACTCCTTGTTTTTTGCCGTTATGTACCAACATGCTCCAGATTCAACCTCTGACAATAAATATGGGAGAGATTCAGTCTGTTTGTCAGTGGCATCTTTGTCAAACTGGGATCTCTGAAACATCCTTATTGGGAGTATCTTTTAATGCCAACTTCTGTTTTATTGTTATGCGCATCTCCAAGTTGACTTTGACTGATGGGGACCCTCTCCAAATAATATCTTGGCCTTTTTTTGCACTTTGGAAACATACACTGATAAGAGTATGACTTGCCCAAGGTTACTCTGTGGGTTTCAATAGCAGACTGGAAATTGTTCTGTCCTGGATTCTTACACCAATGTTTTGAATGACTACACCACACTGGCTTCTCTTAACAGGGTAAACCAGGCATGGGCAAACTTTGGCCCTCCAGGTGTTTTGGACTTTTATAAAATGAGGAAATCAAGGGTTCCTTTTGGAATTCTTTAAGAAAAAAATAGTAGTAATAATAATATTATTTATTTACTTCATATATATATATATATATATATATATAGTCACTTTATTTATATTCTGCCCTATCTCCCTAAGGGGAATCAGAGCAAATTACAACATACACAGATAGGCAAACATTCAATGCCTTCAATTTCAATGGAATAACAATGACATACAAATACACAGAACAAAGGTAAAGGCTTCCCTTTCATCTCCAGCCTCTGGAGGCAGTGCTCATGGAGAGGTGCTCTTGTTCCATTTCCTAGCTGAGCCTGTTGTCCATAGACACCTCCTGGTCATGTTTGCTGGCTTGACTGCGTGGGAGCCTTTATTACCTTTCCACCGATGCAGTTCCTATTGATCTATTCACATTTGCATGTTTTCAAACTAGTTTGGCAGGAGTTAGGGCTAACAGCAGGAGCTCACCCCAACCTGCAGCTTTGAACTACCATCCTTTAGGTCAGCAGATTCAATAGTTAACCCACTGCATGCATGGTTGAATCCATGGATGCAGAATCCATAGATGTGGAAGGCTGTGTGTATGTTGATTTCTAAGATGGATATACTATATACAGACTGCAACTCCAGCCAATCTGTTTGGTGGCTAAAGATGCATTCAACACTGCTTTGAATAAATACATTTTGAGTTTTAAAAAAAAGGAAAATCACAACTCGTCTGAAGGAGGACATGACGATTTGCTGGATACCTGGCTGTGTGGTTCAAACCTTATTTTACAGCGCAGAAGCTCAGTTCTTTATTTATTACTGTCATCTTGGGCCCTTCCGTATGAATATGCTTGCAACCAAATTAGCTATGCATAACAGAAAGAAGGATTGTTTCTCTTTCATGGGGACAATTTCCTGATCACAATGCTACTTGGTTTCGGGGTCATTCTGCTCTTTAGAGAGCGGAGCAGATAATGTTCGTGTCTTGATTGGGTTTGTGTGACTGAGTGGTTTCAAAGTCTCACACAAATAAGGACCTGTTTCGGCACTGTAGACTCTTTCACACTTCTACGTTATAGTGCTGTGGTTCTACCTGAACTGCCATGGCAACACTCCATGGAAGCCCTAGATAGGCAGATGGGGGTTGATAATGTTTCTAAAATCTATAGCTCACAGCAGTAACTTTTCCAAACTCTGATTTCCAAGGGTTGCCATTTGCTTCCCAGAGAGACAGCTGGCTGTGTGTTTATGCAATCGGTCCAGTTGGGTGCATCTACACTTTCAAATTAATGCAGTTTGACACCACTTAAGCTGCCATGGCCCAGTGCTATGGAATCCTAGGATTTGTAGTTTTACAAAGCCCTTCTTAGCCATCTCTGTCAAATATTGCTGGGCCTCACCAAATGACAGTGATACAATATTATATATGCTATGGCTCAGTGTTATGATTCCATAGTATTGAGCCATGGCAGTTAAAGTGGTGTCAAACTGCATTAATTCTACATTATAGATCAGGCATAGGCAAACTCCGGCCCTCCAAGTGTTTTGGACGTCAACTCCCACAATTCCTAACAGCCTGTTGGCTGTTAGAAATTGTGGGAGCTGAAGCCCAAAACACCTGGAGGGCCAAGGTTTGCTCGTGCCTGGTGTAGATGCATCCAAAGACATTACATCTCCATGATTGGCATTCTATTGTTTGGTTTGGCACCAGGATTAGGGAGTTGAACACTTGACAAGAAATCACAACAAAGCCTTGTGGAAACAATATACTCGATATTTTCATAGGAATGTGAGACAGATTACGGATTGGAGTGCAAGCCTGAGGTGTGTGTGTGTGTGTGTGTAGGAGTCCCCGGTGGCACAATGGGTTAAACCCTTGTGCTGGCAGGATTAAAGACCGACAAGTCTCAGGTTCAAATCCGGGATGAGCTCCCTCTATCAGCTCCAGCTCCCCATGCAGGGGTATGAAAGAAGCCTCCCACAAGGATGGTAAAAACATCAAACATCCAGGTGTCCCCTGGGCAACGTCCTTGCAGACGGCCAATTCTCTCACACCAGAAGTGACTTGAAATCGCTCCTGGCACAGAAAAAAAAACATACACACACATATGTAGCAGGGTGTTGTTGACTGTTTAATTGGGGAATCTTTCCCCTTGATTAGTCTTTTCAGTTCTCAATACATTAAAAATTGAGGGATGGGAATGCGGTGTTTGGAGGAGTTACATAAAAGCCTTTAAAAGACAGCTCTCCTAGACCTTGAACACAAGGTGGCAGCAGAAATCCTGCTGCATCAAATTCAGTGAAATATTTTACAGTAACTTCAATCTCTCCCAGGGCAGTTTCCAGTGACTGAGAGATTCCAAGAGTGGCTTTCTAAAAAAAACAAAACGTAACTTTCCCAAGCTTTGCTTGTGTTCTGCTCTCACTGAAAGTCTGCTCTCCACTTTATGAAAAGTGTGAGTGTTTTGAGAGGAGCCTGTTCTTCTTGCCCTAGGC